TGTGTGTGTGTGTGTGTGTGTGTGTGTGTGTGTGTGTGTGTGTGTGTTTTACCTGTCTTGTGGGGACATAAATAAGATTACAACACAATGACATGTCCCCATAACTTAAAGCATTACATTTTAGGGTGAATACTTGGTTTAAGGTTCGGGTAAGGGTTGGGATTAGGCTGGTAGCGGTTGGGAAACGTTTCCGGAAAATGAATGTAAGTCAATGTAAAAGTCACGACTGTGTGTGTGCTCATAATAACTTTAACATGCTGTTTATTGATTGATGAAATTACTATTAATAAGTTAATTTATCTGTATCCACACTATGCCGTCTCTTCCCCTCCATGATGGATGAGACTGATACAGTGAAATTATAAAACCCTAGAAGGGATTTATTTCCTCACTTTTTTTTCATACTTCACTCAAATGCAAATAATAATAATAAGACTATAATATTTTATTTGTATAGCGCTTTAAAGTGTACTCAAAGACGCTTTACATGGTAAAAACAGAAACAATAGAAGTAATTATTATATAAACAAAATAGATGACATAACAATAAGGAACAGCACAAAAACACACATAACTAGCATCACAGGTTAAAAGCAGATTTAAATATGTGAGTTTTAAGTACAGCTTTGAAAGTGGTGAGTGACGGAGAATGTCTCTGAGTTCCAGAGGGACTGTCCCCAGGTCTGCTGCTTGGACAGAGTAGGGGGGTAAGGAGGATGGTGGAGGTGCAGGAGGTCAGAAAGGTATGAAGGGGTTCAGGGTTATGAGGATCTCTGTATATGATGAGGAGAATCTTGAACTGGATTCTTTGCTGTATGGGGAGCCAGTGGAGGTTCTGAAGGACTGGGGTGATGTGGTCTGGTGGAGTGGGAGAGCAGACGGGCAGCTGAGTTCTGGATGTATCGTAGTTTATTGATGATTTTGGTGGATGCGCCGTACAGGATGCTGTTGCAGTAGTCCAGTTGAGAGGTGATGAAGGCGTGGATGAGTGTTTCAGGGCTGAGGAGGAGAGGGAGGGGTGGAGACGGCAATGTTTTTGAGATGTGATTGACGTGGCGTTCATATGAGAGGGTTTGATCAAAAATGATACCACGGTTACGGACATGTGTGGAAGCAGGAACAGTGGTGCCATCAATGCAGAGGGAGAAGTTGTGGTGGGATTTGCTTAATGATTTGGGGCCGATGATGACTTCAGATTTGTCGCTGCTGAGTTTGAGGAAGCTGGCTTGCATCCAGGTTTTAATATCTGTGCAGGTGGTGATGGTGGAGTGGGGGTGATGGATTTGATGGAGATGTAGAGCTGGGTGTCGTCAGCATAGCAGTGGAAGTGGAAACCATGGTGGCGTATGATGTCGCCAAGGGGGAGCAGGTAGAGCAGGGGGGGGGGGGGGGGGGGCAAACTTTTTGGCTGGGGGGCCACATTGAGTTTTAAAATTTGACAGACGGGCCGGGCCAGTAGCAGATGAATGGAGTGTTTGTGTGAACTAATATAAATTACAAGTAAAAGCCATGACCTAAAAAGGAACTTGCATTTAATTTCAGTGGGAACAGTGTTGTTTGTCACCCTTTTTAACCAGTGCGTCAACGTTTGGTGTCAGTTTGGTTGTGGCAATTCTCAGAACAGATCTGAGGCGTTCATCAGTTAGCTCGGATCTTACAGGGTATTTTTTGACTGTCACATCTAACATCATCAGAGTTCTGCTCTGTAATGTCTTTCCTTGTCTCTCCCCCCTGTGTCACGGTGTGGGTACATCTCACTGGCGTTAGGAAACGTATCAGAATAACCTTATTTTATTGGCTAAACTGCATCACGTGACGTGATTTACAATGCATTGGTCGGTGTTTTTCCTGCACCGCTGAACAAGTGCCGTAAATGCTGGAAAGGAGCGTGAATAACTCCGCTGCATAAAGCAAAGGCCCGCGACCCACTGAAAACGGGTCCGCGACGAACCACCCGTTGAGAATCACTGGTCTACAGGATCGTGACGAGCGGTGAACAGCTGTTTGTGTGGCGTGTCTTCCGTCTCTTCCGTCTCTTCCTGTTTCCTTCACTTACATTCCCCTGGGCCCTAAGACCCTCCATGTACAGCTTCTTATCACCTCTTTGCACCAATGTACATTTATAACAAATACCACACATATTACACGGTAATCAGCGTTGCATATGTGTGAAACTCTATCGGTGCATCTCCGGTCTGTCTTTGTTCATCCTGCATCGCTCTGTTCTGTTCTTTAATGTAACGTTACTGGAGCGACAGAGCCTCTCCAAGCTGTTAGCAGACTGTTGTGCTAGCAAGCAGGCTCACTCGCGAGCTGTACCCAGCATGCAGTTCGGCGGTGAAATTTTATAAAATTTTGTTAAAGAGCGTTAGTTGTGGGTTGTTAATTGTTGTGTTATAAAGTTATGACTATGACTAGGGTTCCCTCTCAATACATATAAGAGAACTAGCGCTGACCGCACAGCGGCATAGAATACATTTAGCTGCCTGTTGAAAGCAGACAGCAGTTGTTTCGGCTATGCACCAGTGTAATGGTGTGTGAAGAATTCATATCATACTGGAAATTAAAACCGGTATACTGCCCAGCCCTAGTCTTTATTATAGTTTGGACAATTTTGTATCAATATTTGACGGGCCAGATTAAAAAGCCCAACGGGTCGTAGTTTGCCCATGCCTGAGGTAGAGGATGAAGAGGAGGGGACCGAGTACTGAACCTTGGGGGACACCTTGAGAGAATGGGGCTGTGTCAGACTTGAATTTATTGATACTAATGAACTGTTCATGGTCGGAGAGGTATGATTTAAACCAGGAGAGGGCTGTGCCAGTAATGTGGAGGGAGGACTCGAGACGGGAAAGGAGGATGGACTATTGCACTTCTGTCCATCCTGGGAGAGGGATCCTCCTCTGTTACTCTCTCTAAGGTCTCTTCCTCTTTTCTCCCCGTTAAATGTTTGTTTGGGAGAGTTTTTCCTGTTCTGATGTGAGGGTTTCCGGTACAAGAGGATGTTGTATGTGTACAGATTGTAAAGCCCTCTGAGGCAAATTTGTGATTTGTGATTTTGGGCTATAAAAGAATGAATTGAATTGGTTGATGGTGTCAAAGGCTGCACTGAGGTCGAGTAGTATCAGGATGTTGAGGGAGTGTTCATCAGAGGAGAGGAGGAGGTCGTTGGTGACTTTGATGAGGGCACATTGAAATGGTTCATACAGTTGGTTTGAGTCCAGGTGGGTTTTTAGTTGGTGGGCAACCGTGCATTCCAGTATTTTAGACATAAAAGGGAGATTGGAGATGGGTCTGTAGTTTTTGTGGATGTCAGGGTCAAGGCCAGGCTGTTTAAGGATGGGTGTGACTGAGGCGAGTTTGAGGGCGGGAGGGATGGAGCCAGTAGACAGGGAGGAGCTGATGACAGAGAGGAGGAGCGGGCTGAGGGCCGGGAGACAAGCCATGGCGAAAGTGGAAGGGATAGGGTCCAGGTCACAGGTCGGAGTCTTCATGCCAGAAATTGATTTATTGAGATCTGAGCGGGAGATCAGGGAGAATCGGGAGAGTGACCGGTCAGTTAGTGGAGGATTTACAGATACAGGGTTGGACATGGCGGGGCTGGAAGTGGCCAGTTGGTTGTAGATGGTGTCAGTTTTAGCTTTGTAGAATGACAGGAAGGAGTTACATTTTTCTACCGTGGAGGAGTGGGAGAGGTTGTCCATAGGTTTGAGGAGTTTGTTTATTGTGGAGAAGAGGACCTTTGGGTTGGTGGAACCAGAGTGGATGATGCCAGAGTAGTAGGTGGAGCGAGCAGAGTTGAGAGCCAGTTTGTATTGCTGTATGTGTTCCTTGTAAGCCAGGGTGTGAACCGTGAGGCCGTCTTTTTTTGGAGAGTCTGCATTTCTGGGATTTCATGAGGCGGAGTTCAGGGGTGAACCAGGGAGCAGTGTGGGTGAAAGAGACAGTTGTGGTTTTGAGAGGGGCAAGTGGATCAAGGCAGGAGGATAGTGTGTTATTGTAGAGGTTGACCAGGTCTGAGGGGGAGGGGCTAAGGGAGGGGGTGAGTGTGGAGAATTTGTGAGTGAGACAGGCTGACAGGGATGAGATAAGATAATCCTTTATTAGTCCTGCAGCGGGGAAAATTACAGGATTACAGCAGCATATAGTATAGTGCGACATAAATAGTAAAGAATATTACTTAAGACCAATACAAAGAAAGGATTTTTAGAAATCTTGGCCAACTGAAAAGTATGAACATGAAAAGTATGAGCATGTACAGCACTCAATACTTAGTTGGGGCTCCTTTTGCCTGAATTACTGCAGCAATGCGGCGTGGCATGGAGTCGATCAGTCTGTGGCACTGCTCAGGTGTTATGAGAGCCCAGGTTGCTCTGATAGTGGCCTTCAGCTCTTCTGCATTGTTGGGTCTGGCATTTCGCATCATCCTCTTCACAATACCCCATAGATTTTCTATGGGGTTAAGGTCAGGCGAGTTTGCTGGCCAATTAAGAACAGGGATACCATGGTCCTTAAACCAGGTACTGGTTGCTTTGGCACTGTGTGCAGGTGCCAAGTCCTGTTGGAAAATGAAATCTGCATCTCCATAAAGTTGGTCAGCAGCAGGAAGCATGAAGTGCTCTAAAACTTCCTGGTATACGGCTGCATTGACCTTGGACCTCAGAAAACACATTGGACCAACACCAGCAGATGACATGGCACCCCAAACCATCACTGACTGTGGAAACTTTACACTGGACCTCAAGCAACGTGGATTGTGTGTCTCTCCTCTCTTCCTCCAGACTCTGGGACCCTGATTTCCAAAGGAAATGCAAAATTTACTTTCATCAGAGAACATAACTTTGGACCACTCAGCAGCAGTCCAGTCCTTTTTGTCTTTAGCCCAGGCGAGACGCTTCTGACGCTGTCTGTTGTTCAAGAGTGGCTTGACACAAGGAATGCGACAGCTGAAACCCATGTCTTGCATACGTCTGTGCGTAGTGGTTCTTGAAGCACTGACTCCAGCTGCAGTCCACTCTTTCTGAATCTCCCCCACATTTTTGAATGGGTTTTGTTTCACAATCCTCTCCAGGGTGCGGTTATCCCTATTGCTTGTACACTTTTTTCTACCACATCTTTTCCTTCCCTTCGCCTCTCTATTAATGTGCTTGGACACAGAGCTCTGTGAACAGCCAGCCTCTTTTGCAATGACCTTTTGTGTCTTGCCCTCCTTGTGCAAGGTGTCAATGATCGTCTTTTGGACAACTGTCAAGTCAGCAGTCTTCCCCATGATTGTGTAGCCTACAGAACTAGACTGAGAGACCATTTAAAGGCCTTTGCAGGTGTTTTGAGTTAATTAGCTGATTAGAGTGTGGCACCAGGGGTCTTCAATATTGAACCTTTTCACAATATTCTAATTTTCTGAGATACTGAATTTGGGATTTTCCTTAGTTGTCAGTTATAATCATCAAAATTAAAAGAAATAAACATTTTAAATATATCAGTCTGTGTGTAATGAATGAATATAATAGACAAGTTTCACTTTTTGAATGGAATTAGTGAAATAAATCAACTTTTTGATGATATTCTAATTATATGACCAGCACCTGTATATACAGACAGAATAATTGCAACAAGGGCGGATGAGAGGCAGACAGACTTGATATTACGGAGAGTGATGGTGCTCTGGGTTCTGGGATGGGGATCTCGATCTCCATGATGATAGCTGGTCGGAGACGGTGAGGTCAGAACCAGAGAGGTGGTGGATGGTGATTCCAGTGGAGCAGACCAGGTCCAGGATGTGACCGCGGTTGTAGGTGGGGAATCAATGTGTTGAGTGAAGTTGGAGTATCTAAGCATGTCCAGAAATTCTGTGGCTGTTTTACAGTCTGAGGAGTCGATGTGAAATCAGGATGTGAAGGTGGGATGGAGCAGAGCTAGGTAAGTAATTCAGATAGGTCGGAGAGGAAGGCAGGATTGGGTTTGGGGGGGGCGGTAGATAATTGCAATGACCAGGGGTTTAGGACCAGAAAGTTTGAATGTCAGCTGTTCAAATGAGGATGGACTTTGGATGGTAGTCAGGCTGGTTTTTATGTGTTGGCGGTAAAGAGCGGCAATTCCTCCACCGCACCATCAGGGCGTGGTTTATCCAGGTAATGATATCCAGTAGGCGTGGTTAGGTTGAGTGCGTAGTAGTCCAGGTGTTTTTGCCAAGTTTCAGTGAGACAGAAGATATCAAGGTTGTTGTCAGTGATGAATTCATTGATGTTTGGGCTTTTGTTGTAAAGTGACCAGGTGTTGAACAGAGCAAGTTTCATGGAGTGTTTTGTGATTGGTTGTGAGGATTTGGGTTCTGAGGTTGGCTGGATTCACGTGCTGTTTGTTAGGATGACGTAATGAGGGAGTGGTTGTACGCCGGTGCTGAGTCCACAGAGACGGGATGGAATTGACAGAAGTGGGGTTGTAGATGATGAACTTGTGCTGGGAGCCGATATGAACATCACTGGGAGGGATGTAGCTGAGGTTGTGTTTGTTTATGGCTTTGTGAATGCGGTGTGAACGGGGCAGCCTCTCTGTCACAATAGTCGGAATGGGGAGAGCTGCAGCTGAAGGGGTTAATGACAGGTGGGGGCCAGTAGGGGGAGCAGTCACAGGAAACTGTGCTCTGAGGTGGCAGCGTAGAAGAAGAGGAAGGGGCGTGTGTGTGTGCAGAGAAAATAGTCAGTCGCGGACAGAATTGTACAGCGTGCTGTAAATGAGCTGATAGCAGCTTGTTGAGATGAATACCATCATTCTTAAAAGACGAAGAGCGGTCCCAAAACAGATTCAAATTGTCAATGAAGAGGAATGAAACTGTGTGTGTGTGTGTCATATGTATAGTATGCGTGTATAGGTGAAGGTCAATTATTGTTAATATTGGTGTGTTCACAGGGAGGAACACACAGTTAAAAAATATTGGCAAAAAACTGATTTGGACAGGATTAACATAAAGTTGAAGAACAAGTAGAAGAACAAGCGACTTTCAAAGTCAGAGATCCACTGTGAAATACAAGGAAATCATTTGGGACAGAATTTTATTATGGGAGGACCAGCGAGTTCATAGAACAACCGGAGCTCATTGTGGCTGTGGTTATTTCTTTCTACAGACTGACCTCCTCCTCCTTTCTCCTCTTCCTCCTTGCTTTAGCTCTGGTATCCAGACTCTGCCACACAATGCCAAAGTCCACTACAACTACGCCAACTTCCTGAAAGACAGCGGCCGGCACCAGGAGGCCATTCACCACTACACCACCGCTCTCAGGTCTGACTTAACTAAAGCTCTCTGACTGTAACAATCCAACACTTTCTAAGTCACACAGTATGTTGGCAAAGTTGTTTCCTGTTGCTGATATACCCGTTTCATTCATGTTCCTGTTTCATGTCAAACACTCTGTATTACGTCACAAAGTCAAAGTTTGCTTCATTTAAACCATGGGGATGCTCTGTGGCAACCCTGAGCTTCAAGTCATATTGCGAATGCTACAAAATGTTTGATTAACACTGTGTGCTGCTGATCAGCTTAAGAGCCTCTAGTCAGGCTACAGCTGACTGACAGCTTAAACATAGAGGAAGCTTTCAAGGAACATCACCAAAAGAAAAAGCATTTATTCATCAGTCAAAAGCTTCTAGGGCTCGTGTTTATCAAGAATCTCAGAATCCTTCCTAGGAATCATGTTGAAAGTTAAAGGTTGGTAATCTTGAGAAACTAGCAAGAGAAGGCTGTTTTATAAACTCAGTCCAGTGAAAGTATCTCGCAGCGCTAGTTCCAAAAGTTGCTAAAACTAGCAAAGAATGTGCTAAGTCTGTAACACTGACATTCATGCTGAATGAAATAATTAGACAGACTATTACGGTTACCAAATAAGAATATGACTCGTACTTTTTAAGAATATTTCCAACCCTACCTTTAAGCTAACACTAAACATACTTCTAGCTCTACTTCATGTGTGGATGCAGCCTGTGTTTTGGTGGCGTGACGCTGGTCTGTGGGGGATGAATGGATCTGAGCAGCTCTACTTGTTTGATTCATTCCTGCAGAAGTGTTTGTTTGCTCACAGACTCAAGTTGCTGTTTCAAAGTCACATTTAGCCTTTCGCTGAAAGGTTCTGAGGACCTTGATCAATGTACTTTTACATCCTACAGAAGGGCATCAATAATTATTCATGTCATTATTTATTCTTCTGTTAAGGTCAATGTCCTCGGAGTGTCTCTCCTGCTGCCTGCTCGTGTGTGTGTGAGAGCTGCTGTAGCACAGCGGCTACATGGTGATGTACTTGTGTGACTGTGGTGTCTAGCTGAGCCACTTAATGAAGCTGGTGCTACAAATCTAAAAACAAGGACAGATATTTATCAGCAAGGAATGTAACAAATCAACCACCAGCATCACATCTCATGTCTGCCTGTTCTGTGTTTACTAGTTGTATTCCCTTTTGCCCAGTAGCTCATCATTCGTGCCAAATTGTCTAGCTTGTTGAATAGTAGAAAGTCAATTCAAGAGAGGTGCATTGTTGACATGCATTTGGCTCATAATGGACGGCCAGGAACTCATGGAGACTGCATGTAAAATAAGGCAATTATTATATGAATCATGCACAAATTGGGTTTTATCCAACATACACACATTGTATTACATTACATACACTGTAACATTAATGAAAGTGAGTGCCCAGTATGTGTGACTTTCATTGGAGAGGCTTCCTGAGGAACCAGAGATGTGGTTCATGTCTCACCTCTCTTCACATTAGTTCATCTGTAATCTGGAAGCTATTAATCTGCCTGTGTCTAATGGTATTACTCTGTTTTTGATGGTCTCCAGCCAAAAACCCAAATATGTGTTTATGAAAACACCCCGTTTGATCTTTTGATGCTTTACTAATTCCTTCAATTTCGTCTGCAGTTAATTGTTTTAACAGAAATATGTCTCTTCAACTACTAGGTGAAAAGAAGATAAAAAATAAGATTTGACAATTGTAGGGCTGAAAAATTTGAGGAAAATATCTAATTGTGATCTTTCTCTCCGACTTCTTTGATTATATATCAATACAATCAAATAATGAAAAGTGGATGTTATGAAGGTCCTCCTAGCGCAAGTAAGCTCTGTTATTGTTACTTATTGTAACTTACTCATTACCTAACTAGCAAATGTATGCAAATCTATTCTCACTGCCTTTAGGACCACCAGGGTCCCAATCAGCCCTCTAATGGCCTGGATCCATCAGCTTCTTCTGTTCCTATCAAAGGCTTGGGATCCCCTTCTACATCCATTCATGCATCTTCTCTACAGTTGGTGCAGTTTAGTATCGATGAACTCTTATCAATTTGAATATCAAAGACGATGCATTAATGTGTGTAAACACATTGTTCATGTATGTCCATACCAGACTTAATGACTTTAAATGACCAATCAGAACAAATGTGGCATTGTGCCTTCAACTGAATATAGTCTTTTGGAACAAATGGGCTAAGTGAACGAAAACACAACAATTCTTTGTTTCAGGTGATTATGCACTAATAAAATCAGAATACCCAATGTCATATTCCATTTCTGCCAATAGATCCCCTGATTAAATCTGGACACATTATTCCATCACAGCCTGGTAGAGACCAAATGCAGTGAAAGAGCGTGAATGTTGGACTCATATTCATCAGATGTTTTGTACAGAAGGTTCTCAATAAATGAGATTGGACTCCCTCCTCTGCTGTCCTGTCTTCTTATTCTCTCTCCTACTCTTCCCTCCTCCCCTCTGCTGACTTTTTTCTTTTCTCCCCTCATATCAGGTTATTCCCACGCCATGCCAGCGCCATGAACAATCTGGGCACTCTGACTCGCGACCCAGAGGAGGCTGAGCGCTACTACAGGAAGGCACTGGACACCAACCCCCAGCATAACCGAGCTCTCTTTAACCTGGGAAACCTCCTGAAGTGAGACACACAAACACTCTCTGACACTAAGTCTCACTCTCACTCTCACTCTCAATGATGGTGATGGTGTGTTCTAGGTCCCAGGGGAAGGAGAAAGAGGCTGAGACTCTACTAAAGGACTCCATGCACTTCGGTCCACATTTTGCTGATGCTTACTCCAGTCTAGCATCACTCTATGCTGAGCAGGTGAAACATTCTCTCACACTCATGCACATCAAGTATGTACCACACTTGACTTTGGTGCCTGGAGGCATGTTGTAACTCATCACTTAGTAATAAGTCCAGACTCAAATTAGCTTTAGCTGTGATGATTAATCTCTGCAGCAATAAATCCCTGTCAGAGAAGCCTGCTCAGCTGTTCACACTTTGGTCCAGTTCGTTCCTGATTTAATGCTGTATTCATTTCACCTCTCCGTCTCCACAGAAACGCTTCGCTGAAGCCAGTGAAGTGTATCTGAAGGGAATAGAGAACTGTCCGGACAGCTCCGACCTGCATAATAACTATGGAGTGTTTCTGGTGGATACGGGTGAGTTGAACCTAGAGGCTCTCTGGCCCCTGATAAAACTTTAAACTAGTTCTGCTGAGATCTAATCTGTCAGTGGGAACAGTCTGTATGATGTTAATGTTATTGAAAGTAGTGCTGGGCGGTATACTGGTTCAACCGGCACGTCAAAGAATACGCCCAACATGTCAAACTAAAGATCTGATTGGTTGAAGACTATGACAATCAACAATATCGTCCCCATTCACTTAAACTGCACATGGATGCACTTGTGAGTCTGCAGGCCTCGGGCCTCTCTTCTTACCTAGAGACACAGAGGTGAAATCTGATTGGATAAAAGCTCTACTTAAAACAAGCTGCACTGGAAGCAGAGCAACTGAGGAAGACAGTAGCTGTGCAATGAGAAGATAAGATAATGGGGAAAATAATTTTATAAATTATAATACATGTAGATTATTTAAGAAGAATTATTAAATTATAAAATAGATACAACTTTGTGATTATGTTTAGGCCAGCAGAGAAGGCCTATGTGTGTGTATGTATGTATATGTATATATATATATATGTGTGTATGTATGTATATGTATATATATATATGTGTGTATGTGTGTATATGTATATATATATATATGTGTATATATATATATATGTGTATATATATATATATGTGTGTATATATATATATATGTATATGTATATGTATATGTATATATATATGTATATATATATATGTGTATATATATGTGTATATATATATATGTATATGTATATGTATATGTATATATATATGTATGTGTATATATATATATGTATATGTATATGTATATGTATATATATATGTATGTGTATATATATATATGTATATGTATATGTATAT